ATATTTGTTTTCATCCTAACTTGAAATGTAGAAACATCAAAACATTCTATGGAACAAACAAAAAAGTTGATTGAGAAATCTTGAAAAGCCTTCAGCTGAAACGAAACATTCTGTTTCAGGTCCAGTTGACAGTTGCCTCTGCATCCTCCTGAGCCACCTCAGTGTTTCCTGGGGATTGTAATTCTAGCTCCTCATGTCCCTGTTTACCCCAATGGGAAGTCTCACATGATACACTGCGGACCCTTTTCTGTAGCGGTACATCTACAGAGCACTTTTATTTCGAAATAACAATGTGAGCATCTACACAGCAATTCCATGACTTTGAAATAAATTTGAAATAACAGAAGGCTTATTCTGATTTCTGTAAGCCTTATTCCATGAAGAATAACGCCTCTTCTGAAACAGCTATTTCAAAATAGAAGTAGTGTGGACGCTCCACTGTTGCTATTTCGAAATAGCTCCTCCCCAGGGCCATTCAAAGTAAATACTCCCCAGTGCCTTCTGGGGCTCTAAATCGAGGTAACATGTCCACATTAGGAAAGCCGGACTTGGACTAATTTTGAGGCTTCCCTGTAGTGTAGATGTGATATTTCAAAATAAGCTATTTTGGAGTATTTCTTCCAGAATAGCTTATTTTGAAATAAGTATGCAGTGTAGATGTACCCTGAGAATCCAATCACACCACGGTGGCTCAACCCCATGGAGTGATCATGATTCACCATAGGAGACAGTCCAGCTGCAGAGGGCCCATAAAATAAAACAGGTATATACAGAATATGGAATTATAATTCCTAGAGGCTCAGGTGAATGCAGAAATTAATGCTGATCAAAATCAAAATATTTCAATTCAATTTTTCTGAAAGAATATTCTGCCAAAACCCCCTCTTCCTCTGGAAAATTTGATTTTGAGAAAACCCCATTTTTCAACAAGAAAATTTAATTTTACTTTCTTTCAACATATCCCTACTTGTGAGCTATTTATTACTGGGATATGTGCAAGACAATCTAATAATAGTGCAGTGCTTCCAAAATTAAATTGCTCACAGCTACCATCTCCCTAAAACCACTGCCAGAAACCTTGCTATGCAGTGCTGATACAGTCCCTTTTTCATTCTTTAATGGCTGCCAAACTGGACCATTAGGGTTTTGTGTTTTTTTATTTCTCCATTGCTGCATTACAGATTACATTCCATCTCTGAGAACTGGAGAAGAGTAGACAGGCTTGCACTTAGAAACAAGAATTTAATACACACCATGGTAAGTGCCTTTAGATATCATTAACATATACACAGGGTGGATAACAAGAAATGGGGTGACAGAGAACTGTCTGTTCTGATCCAAAGGCAGCCAAAGGATTTGGGGGTTTTAGTCCAAAATACAATATAGATCTGGACTGCAACCAAAACTGTACAAATGTCATGAGAACAACTTTCATACTAGAAAATTCCTGTGTGAGAAGCTAGGGAAGGAGCCTGCTTATAACCCGAAAGAGTTCAAGGTAGGCGAAAATGGAGGACTCAGGCAGAGGGTGGGGAAGCTCTCCCAAAAGGCCGCAATGACAGTGTTGGTTTCACGGCAGGTGGAGGGAACTAGAGATGAAGCTGGGGAAAGGACCCAGTTCACACTTCCAAAGCTCATAGTGTCACAATCCTTTTCCATGACTGTATCCAATGGGAGATGGATCCAGAATATACAATCTCGAGTTAAACATTCGCAGAGCTCACAGACATTCAGATCTGCAGCACTTGAAGTCCATCTCTGGAAATAACTAGCCAGCCTAAAGTTTTTACTGCTTTTAAAAAGACACAACTCTGCCACTTAGAGACAGATTCTGTTCAAAGATAACTAACCTTTCCAAGTTAAGCCACTGATACTGTGTAAGATACACTTACTCCACTATTGCTCATTTACAGCATGAATGCTCACAGGCGCATAGCTGTGTAAGCAGTCAGATTTTGAGATGACAAAGCTTCTCTTCCATCCAATGATGACAGTCTCCATGCTTTTTTAATTAAACCTTCTGCTAATGCTGTAGCCCTCTTCAGCAAATATATAACAAAGTGAATAAGCACATTAAAAGGTACACATGCTCTGTGCCCTGAAGTTATACCGCTAGCACAGCTTACTGTGGGCTAGATGATGGACTGTGTAGGTGTAGGTGTGCTAAATGTGGGAACTAAGTGCACAAGGAATCCTTGCATATCTACAGCAGGGTCAGCTATATTTCTAGTCCATGCATTCCCATCAACTTAAGAACTGTGTCCTACCAGTGCCCCCATACCAGCTACCCTAAAGAGGACAGGAAGAGAGAGAAGGAAGTTAGAGCATGACTCTGCCTCTACTGAACTGATCGTTGGTGCTAGGTTGGCACGAAATGGAGAGCATGCTACACCATCTAAGGAATGCTGCAGCATGTATAATCACCTCTGCCCAGCTGGGAGCTCAGCGAACAATTGTGCTGAAATGTCACCATTCTGCACTGCCCAACATGGGCTGGTTGCTCATTTTAGCCTTGTATAAATAGCCTGGATTCACTGAAAAAAAAATCGTATCTAGCGCAATGCCATTGTTTATAGGTTTGTAATGTTATAATGATTAAGCTATGCTGTCTATCATTAATGTATTCTGCACAATGTCGCAGTAAACAACCACTGTATTTTTGGCAGCTATACACATGCACCTGCTTTAAAAGAAAAAAGAAGATGATGCCATTGTTAGACACCAATGATCGTTTTATGTAACTAGTAGTTCAAGTGGGGAGGCCTTAGGGTCTTTGCTGCAGCGCATCATAAGCTGGGAATTTGAGGAATGCAAATTTGAGGAATGCAGGGAGGTTATTAAGATGCATCTTTGACATTCCACCTAGGATGTTGGGATTCAGAAAGTCTGGTTGAAGTCCTAAATCTAAGCAATGGCAGGCAATGTGCTCTCTCCACTTTCTAGGATTATATGATATGTGGAATGTTTGGTGTGTGTTGTTTCTTAAAAGATTTATCTAACAATAATGTTCTCCAAACTCAAGGATCAGGCCAAATTACTTTCCTCTTCTTTTTTCTGATGATCCACTCAATTTGGGCCTGAAACTTGAAATGAAACCATCACTGTTATGCCTCTTGTAATGCCATGCAATGTGGATCCTGGATAGACAGCATTTTTGTACATTATGTCCTTAGGGCAGTGGTGGGCAACCTACAGCCCATGGTTCTATGTGTGACCCACAAGACATTTTGTTTACTATTGCTCACATCCAGATTTGCCAGATTGTTCCGGTTTCCATCCACATCATTTTCTTTCTACTGGTATTACTAAAGTGACATACACATAAAGCAAGGGCATGTAAAGTGAGGTGTATGCATGCAGCATTAACCATGAAATCTGTGCACTCCCTCTTCATCCAAAGTGCTGCTACGGTTCTATCGGCACACCACACAAACTCTAGCTAAGCAAGTGGAATTAGCAAAATCACCGGTAAGCCATCTAGGTTATGACAATCTTGCAGCTCACTGAGATAAAGGAGGGCCATTCGTGCCACCCACTCACTAGCCTAGACTGCCCATCGCTGCCTTAGGGAATTGGTTCTCAACCTGTAAGTAGCGGGAAGAAAAAAATCAAGATAAAGGGCTGTTTGTGAACTTTTCTCTCTCAGGCTACAATCAGCCTGCTTTCTCACATATTGAGAGCCATAGCTTTAATCTACACAGGGAACTTGCTCTCGTACCACTAATTGATGGTCAGACACCAATGTAGCTATACCAGCACAGAATGCAAGGACATTCAAGGAAACCTACGATTTCTTTGATATGAAGATATGAAATCTTCCTAATAGGAAGCAGGGGTACATACTAGGGATGTGAAAGTGTAAACATATAAATGGTTAACTGATGAGCCATAGTTACACACAGGGACACTGTTTCCTTTCCCTGAC